GACTCATCACAGTCAACAGGAATTGGATCAGGGCCTGACAGCCAAACCCTATTTCACTTTTACCTGCTTAAGGGATGCTTATGTAGCTATGCAACTGTGATTTTTGGCATGCATGCACAGCCTGAATTTGATTTCTACGTATGGTAGAATCAGATTATGCCATGTGCATACCTGTTAGAATTTAAATGAAAGAGGACCTGTTCAGCCTGATAGTCTAATGGTTAAGGCACCTGCCTAGGGAGTGGGAAACTTAAGCTGTAGGCCCAGTCACCCTGTTTTTAGCAAAGTATGCTAGCTACTAGACCACAGGCTATGCATTGCCCAGAGCAGTTGCCAGCCCTGCTCTTGTAGGTCGTCCTTTGCACCCTGCACTCAATATTTATTGGACAAAATGGATACACAGCAGTGAGAAAGTTTCTGTACCATCAGGAGCAGCACCCCAGGGCCCCTTCTTTCCAGGCAACATCTTCTAAATGGCATTTCTGACCTACCTTTCTGATGTTTAGAAAATGATATTTAGAGATTTGGTTTTAGGAATTAACTTGTAAGTACAGTAAATATTGCATAGAAAAATGGTCCAGGGGAACAGCAAGGGTTAACTGGTTTCTAAATGTCTGTTTGTGACAAAGTTTCATGTCCTCAGCCTTTGAGATAGGCAGTGTCTGGAGCTAACAGACAAGCAGGCACATACATCCTAGGAAACTGACAACATGAAAACAATAGATAACAAAGATAAAGGACCCTGCAGCATTGGCATTAGGTTACAGTGACCAACTGCAAAAGCCCTGGGATTTCTGGTTCTGGTGGACGGATCAAATTAGGATGCTGGGGATGCCCACATTAAGACACCAGTAAATGACCAAATTAAGATGTATGCATGTAATATGTTTGAGAAACAGAGGGATATGCTGACAGAACAGAACATGGACAATATGATGACCACAGAGAGACCAATCAATGGTACCCAGAAATAAAGAGTCATCAGGAGGAATAGAATACAAAGGGAGAGATTTTTAGAGCAGCAAGGGAGGATCCCAAGGCCACCATGGGCAAAGGGTGCACCACTGAGTCATCTTGACCAGCCCACTGGGAGAGGTAGGCATCGGCCCTCAGCCTCCAGGATGTGTGACATTCGAGCAAAGAACGACAGGGTGGTACTTGTGTACTGGCCAGACGTACCATCCCTCTGTGAGAACCCTGGAACTGGTAGATAAGTAGGACTGGGGGAGTTATTTTGTTTGCTTGCCTGCTCTTATCTGCTATCACTGTGTATCAATAACATTTGCATATTACAGAATGGAAGAAGTCATGGTCAGTCTGAGGGTTTGGGTCCGCCCAGAACAAGGTATCAGGACTGGGTCATAAATCCAGTGCCAACACCTTCCTCTAGTTTGCTCTTCTCCTTGTCCCATATAGGTTCCCTTTCTGGATGTCCAGTAGATCATCTTCAAGAGGAAAACTAAGGTGTGCTGTGGGCTAGGTCTGGCCTGTGACTGGGTGAGGAAAGTTTAAACCCCCCTGTATGAGGGGGGCCTATGAGATGAGTCTCCCACTTCTTGGCTTGGTAGATTATTGGATTAAAAGATAGGAGAACTCTCCTCCAAGACCACTGATCAAGCCTTTTTCTGTGAATAAACTTTGCGACTTGCCCAGTTTTGTGTGTGCCTGCTCAGATGCCCATCAAGTCAGAGTGAAGCCTGCAGGTTATGCTCAGAAGGCAAGCACAGGGTAAGTGTAGCACCATAGAATCTAAAATGTTGTAGTTACTGCAACAGTGCAGTTACATGGCTATGGAAATGTCAGGCATGTAAAAATGAAATAGGAGCCCTTAGGGTATTTGACACTTCAAATTCAAGTCTTTGCTCCTTAAACTTGGGCTCCTTGAGGGACCATTCCATCAACACACAGCTTTTTGCAAATTTGAGTTGGCAAACAGTAAGATTTTCTCAATACGACCTGGGGTCCATTAGAATCATCTCTGATATCTTCCACAGAGTAACCACATACTTGTTCTCCTGCTTGCTGTGTTTCCTTTGCTCCTTATTCTATACACAAAAGCACACACCAGCCTGGATACACTCTTCCATAACCAGAAGCAGCATCAATGAAAAATCAAGTTGGGGGACGCTAATTCTAAACACTACTTACAGTCTACATAAATCCATAGATTGGACAAAAGTGAAGTGAGAAGCAAGAAAAAATAGTACACAAACTGAAAATGATAGGGTATTTTCTTTAATACAAACAACAATCTTAAAACATCAGTTTTCTTGATTCAGCAGTCCTAAAGTCAATCTGCTAATAAAAAGTATACCAGATTGTATAGGTACTGCAAGAGGCAGGGGAGAATGAAAGACTGATTTTTAAAATGGAGAGTATCCTTTTAAAAATGCCTATTGTGTGCATCTCATGCCCTGCTGGGCTGGTTCTTGAGATGCATTGATATAGTTTCCTCAGAATTTACGTTTTTCTTCCTTACATGCTCAGATTGGCTTCCATGTCAAAGGAAATACCATTGGCAACGTGTTTTTGAAACTGCACTCTAATGGCCAACTTGTATTCCACATATTAAGCCTCTAAGTGAACTTAGGCACCTCACTGCAATTCCATTCTATTCAAGTCCTCAAAATCTGTTCATCTACTTTTGTAATACACCACCATCTGCCCCTTAAGACTGAGTCCAAAAAAACAGGAAGGAAGAGGAGTATCCCTTACCATTTGCATTAACTATTTTTCAGGGACTTGAGTAGCATGCAATAGGATTGCACTAACGTGCCCAGTAAATGGAATAGAATCTGGCCCTAAAGTTTTAGCTGTGGTGGCTATAAAGGAAACCATTGTACTTTGTCATTCTTAACTTACTGAGATCCTGGATCAGAAGCTCAGAACTACCACCACATTTTCAGTGGGTATTGACTCCAAAGACTAATGATGTCAGCTGTGGTCCCCAACGCAGGAATCCACTGTGGGTTGCATTTAATCATTGCGACAGTTTCCTCGGTTTGATACATATTAGAGATGGAAACAATTTTAGGTTTTCTGTAACCATTGGTTGCTGTAACCAATCTCTTTGTAGCAGTTTACTAGTTAGAACTGGTAATCTAACAGATAGGAAAAACATGGATGTAAGGCAAGCAGAGGTTTTTCAGGAGCAGGCCAGGAAAACTTTTGTAAAGCAACATAAAGAGGTCTGCTTTTTGTATGAGTCTCCCTGAAGAATTTATGTTTTGGCAGATCTTTTCTCTATTTGATCTCTGGAAGAATGAAAATCCCCACAGAATTGCCTGGCAGATTTAAACTGTTTCCAGAATGTTTGTAGCCATCTAAGCAATAAGGTAGGACATCAAAAAGTTGGTTTCAGGGAAGCTGTGCCAGTTTTCCCAGTGATACTCCATCCTCTGTAGTGCGCAAACTGTATTTGGCCTTTTTATAATTTCTGTGTAGCTCCATATGCTCAAAGAACTCTATAAACACATTTTAAAGCCCTGTGTATTTATTAGTGACTAAAACCCAAGCACATACATTATATAAATTATTTTAATAAATAATACATTAAGTAAAGCTCTTGTGTGCCTGGCAATTTGCCAGTATAGCCCTTGCTGCTTTGAAGGTTGGGGCCCAGGTGAATAATCTATTTTAAGTGAAAAACAGTATGTGGCCACAAGAGGCCACTGTAGCAGCCTGCTCTACGTAAGTGTTTTTCTACCATTTTCCCATTTCAGGACAATCACGAAGAAGCTGCTTTATAGATAAAGCTTATGATGTTTTTCTGGCTTTTAGGTTACCTAAATGGCTTAATGGATTAGTACTTAATCATTCAAATTAACCAATGATACTAGGATATCCTCTCAAGATTAATTACACAATGTCAACTGAGGTTTTACAGTTTCTCAGAGGAAACACATCCCAAGCCTGGTGCCCACTCCTTCCATATCTCTCTGCATCACACCTGGAGGTCCCCAATTGTTACTTTTTGAGCTTTAAAATCCTAAAACTCAAAGTCTAAATATGTCTACTAGATATGCTGGTAAGTACCACCCTTAAAGAAATCCTTGTCTATTTCAAGCCAATTTCTTTTAACAAATCTCTATTGAAAAAAGCATGGTGTCTAGGGACAGCTTTTGAGACAAACTTGTGTCTTAAAAACATGAGAATCATAGCAGCAAGAGGAGTGTCATAATGACATATACCAGGGGTGTCAAATACAAGGCCTGTGGGCCAGATCAGCCCACAGAACCATTTCTTCTGGTCCAACAGTAGTCCAATGGACTACTGGAAGGTGGGGGGGCATGGACTGCTGCAGAATTTGGGGTTTCTGGACCCCAAAGGACATGGCCATCAATGGTATACCCAAGCTCTGTGTTGCCTTCTGAATGCAGCCTGCTACCTCCACTCGCCTCCAGACCCACACTGCTGCCCAGACACAGCCTTATGCTGCCACACATCTCCTGCCCCCGCATTGCAGCATAACCCCAGCTCCATGTTGCAACCTGGTCAGAGCCCCACACTGCTGCCCGAACGTGGTCCACTACCTGCACCATATCTGCACTGCCACCCAAACACATCCCCACTAAATCACTGCTAGCCCTGCGGATCTGGCTTGGGAGGAGTTCCTGTAGTCTGGATTTGGTACAGGGCCTAGGATGAGTTTGTCACCCTTGATGTATAAGAAACCTATAGTAAAATTTCCCAGTCTCATTTCCAAACGTGCCTTAATCCCAATTACTTTCCTAAAGCCCGCTTTTACAAATGTTATCTCTAGACTTAATGGTTGAACTGAGGGATTGGAGAACTGTGCACCTGTAGAGGTGAGCTTCAAGAAGCAGTTCCTTGGCTGGTGTGACCTTTAATAGCTCCATTGGCTTCAAACAAGATGCCAGCTGAGAAACTTCCCCCAAAAGAGAAATCTTGTTTTTGTAATACACAGGGTACTTGTTATTAAAGAGATAATAAATGCATGACCTATTTCAACAGTAAAAGGAGTGTACTCTCTTTCTTACCTTTGGATTTGGGTTCCCAGCCACTTTGCATGTAAATGTCACTGGCATTCCTTCAAAGATCTTGTAATGTTTCAGCTTCATCTCAAAGTAGGGGGCTGCACCATTATCAACAGGATCATCTCCATGTTGTACCTCATCATCCGATTCTTCCACAGGAGATCTCTCCAGCCGGTACTCAATCTCACTGATCAGTCTTTGCTCAAAGCTGGAGACCTTGTACTCCTAACAAGCAAGGGACAATCATGTTAGCATTTGTTTTCATGTACTGCATAGCATGATGTCTTTCTATTGAATTTTATTCAAAACTCTTTGCCAATCCATTAGGATTTTACATATAGAAGGAAAATGTACTATACTGAAGAAAAGCATAACAATCTGTGCCCCAAATGAATTCCTTATAAAACAAAGAAAACATCTGGCACTAGGCATACATTGTATTTCAAATTGTCCAAGGGTATAAATTTATAAGAAAAAAAAGTCATTGGTTGCTTTTCTTCCATGTTTAGAATAGCATATAGTAATAACAGTACTCTTAAGCAGTTCATAAAAACTGAAAAAACAATCTTTTTTTTTTCTTGAGGCTACAGACAGATTTAGGGTGGGTTTCTCTCTCCAAATGGCCAGGAGACCACATGGCTCACATCTGGAATTTGTGCAAAACCCTTACAGCAAGCTGCACTAGAAAGCTGTACTGTTTGTGATTATATTTTCCTAGAACAGTGAGAAAGTGGCATCATTAACAAGTCATGATAAAGGCTCCCCAACCCAGCAGCAATAACCACCCCAAATTGCTCTTTCTTTCAAAGCGAATTTGGGAAAAATATAGCAAAACATTAAAAAGTTAGGGAAAAATAATTTACAGAATTAGAAAAATAGTGCTAGAGAGGACTTTGAGAAGTCAGCTAGTCAAGTTTCTGGCTCAAGCTGGATCATCCTTGTTTACATCATCCCAGGCAAATGTTTATTTAACCTGCACTTAAAAGTGATGGAGATGCCACAGTCTTTCTAGCTTAACCACCCTCATAGACAGAAAGTTCCTTCTAATATCCAACCTAAATCCCCCTTGTTGCAATTTAAGCCCATCACTACTTGTCCTCACCCTTATGGTTGCAGAGAACAACTGATCACCATCCTTTTTATAATAACCCTTTAAAAATTGTATTTGAACACTCTTACCACATCCCCCTCAGGCTTCTTTTCTCTAGTCAAAACAAACTCTCCCCTCATATGTCCTCTGAGTTGTTTCCATTTTTTCTCCTACTTCTGGAAGCTGGACACAGCACTCAAGGTGAGGCAACAACCAGCACTGAACAGAGTAAAAGAATCACTTCCCGCACCTTGGATATGATGCCCTATTAATACATCCCAGTGTGCTACTAGCTGTTTTACAACATTACTTCATTGACTCACATTCAGTTTGTGATTCATCATAACTCCCAGGTCCTTTTCTGCAATACCACAGCCTAGACAAGGGGTTGAAAGTGTTTTTGGACAGTGTCAAAAACACCTACAAACCTTGACCACAGCCTCAGCCCCTTCCCTGCCATTTGCCCTGAGGCATGTGCGCCAAGCAAAATGGCTTCATGTTGTCACGCTCTGGCACACATGTTGGGGGTTGCCTACCCTTGGCTTTCACAGTCATTTACCATTTTTGTTTGTGCATTTATTGCCCCTTTCAATTGAGGGTATAATTGGTATAGAATACAAATACTTGTCCAAATTAAATTATAATGTAGAGAACTATTATTCTGGCAACTTCAGTAGTTTCTTCCTTCAACTACTCCATTTATACATTCATACACAAATGAATATTCAGAAATACATTTATCTATTAATGTGTTCTCATAAGAAGGTGATTTACATCTTAGAGACAGCTCCCCCCATTCCAGGCAAATTTGATTGGAGGATAAGATTTAACATCTCTCTACCCATTAATTTGGTTCTGAAAATAACATGACCACTATGTGCAGAAACAAATGAGTGGCAAGGTAGGTATTTTTTTACAAACACTTTTCTTATTTTTTGGCATATTTCACCGTGACATTTTATCTGATTCGTCATCTAAAAAACAGAGATTATTACTTAACAAGAGAAGCTGATACAGGGTGCAAAGCACTTTGTCAGGAGGTGTTAGAATTACTGGGGAAAGAGGTGGATACCCTTACCACAGTAGTATTGTTGGAATAAAATAGTCTGCATTTATTTACTATAGTGCAAATTTAACACAAGGAGAGTGAGTGCACCCCCCTCCCCCGGGCACTTACTACAATGTCTGGCCAGTGTGTTGCTTCTTATTATTGAGAAAAGAGAAGGTGAAAGGTACAGGAAATAACAAAAAGTCAATGCACATAAAAAACTGAGAAAGAAAGAAAGAAAGGTGAAAACTTTAACCTTTTGAATATCCACAGGACTCATTACAGAAGCATCAAGAGAGTGAGCTCCCTGTAAGGGCAGAAAAAAAGATGAAGACTGGCAGTAAAAGGATCAAGAAGAATCCACTACAGTTTTGGGGAGTTCTTTCAGTAGAACTGACTACACATGTTGACATAAGCAACTGAATGTCTATGGTATATTCAACAGCAATGCTGACTACGGAACAAGCACTGGAGAATTGTTTTACTAGGCCTATTTAAAAAGTTTTGCTGCACTTCTGGTTTGGCTTTATCCAAAAAATAGAGATTACATGAATAAATGACAAAATGGTCTCGAAAGGGCAGAGGATGCATTTTTGCCTTCAGAGACAGAAAGGTCAGGATAGGACAGAACAAACAGAGAAGCTTAAAGTGGAAAGCAGACATTCAAGAGCTCTTTCACCTTATTCAGTGTGGAAAAACTGAGTTATAACTATATTTTCCACTTCATTGTGTTTATGCATACCACAAGAATTTTTAGTCAACCCCCTCCTTTCTCTTGTATGTACCAGTCCTCCCGCATTCAGACTTCCTGGAGAATATTGCCCAAATGTAACAATGGTAAGAAAAAGGTTATTTTTCTCTGAGCAATGGCACCTGTGTAGTGGGTTCTTCCTCTGGTTCTTGTAAATTAAAGACAGTGGCAGCACTATCTGCACCCAGTAGTCGACGAGCCATCTTTTCCTCATATGTTAACCTCTGCATCAAAACAAAACAAAACAAAAACAAAAATAAACAAACAACCCCCCCCCAAAAAGTATGAGGTGAGAACAGGAAGGCAAAGCAAAATTCTTATTTCCTATTTAAAAGCATAGGTCATGTAGGGAGTAATTAATGTTTGCATTGGGAAATACGAGCAGTTTATGAATAAATGAGCTGTGTCATACTTTCAGTATTGCAGAGTACCTGGATCTTTAATTCTTAACAATTCATCTTGTGTTAGTGCTTTACCCCATTTCCTGAAATCAATAATCTATTTGTGGCATCAAAATAATTTCCACAATACATAAGCAGATTATGATTTCAGAGGAGAAATGAGAAGAAAAGCAGATAAAATTATTAAGCAACAAAGAACCAATTTCATGCCAATGTTCTTATTAAGTAAGAACAATACAAAAGATAGTCTGAAAAGATATGGCATAATCCAACCACACAAGAATACTCTATAAGGAATAGGAAGTAGCTTCATTTTAGGCCTTCTTTGAAAGAGGCAAAACATTTTTAATTTGGCTTTAAATAAAGTTAACAAAAGCAATGTCAAGATAATCAAAATGGAAAACTTTTGCTACCCTGTGGTTGCATCTAGATGAGACATTTACTGCAGAGTTGACTAATTACCTCCCCAATAAACATCTTGGCATCTACTCGTACAGAGCAATTAGGTTAGAGCAAACTAATTAACTCCGCGGCAGGATAGTACTTGTATTTTTACAAGTACCATCCTGCTGCGGAGTTAATTAGTTTACTCCGCAGTACTGCACGTGTAGATGCTGACATGGCTGGCCTGGGGCATGAGGGTGCTTCGGTGTGAGGGCCGACTACCAGCTAGTCCCACACTGGAGCACCCCTGTGCCCCAGCCAACTCCTTTGCAGCATGTTGAGCTGGGGGAGCAACCCTAGGTTGGCAGGCTGACCCTCAGGGCCCCCTGCCAGCCGGGGCTGCTCTTATCCAGGTCAATGTGCTGCAGTCCCAGGCGCACGTTCAAATGGCATGCCTGGGAGTAATAAATTTTAGAGCAGTAAACTCCACAATTTATTGCTTTGCATTAATTGCATATATAGATGCACCCTGTTGATACTAGAAATCCTTCTACTGGCACTGTGATTGCCTATACATTAGAACCACAAGTGACAGGATCTTCAGCCAAGGATATCAAGAAGAGATTCTTCTATTTTTTCAAAGAAAGTGAAGACAAATTTGTATAAAATATCTGTCTGTAGAATTTGGATTTTCTGTTTCTCTTTACACTTCTTTATAATAAGGAGACAACTCAGAAGATACTGTCAGCTAGCAGAGATGAAGACACTGATTTGTTACATATATATTCATAAATCAGTAGAGACTTGCTTTATTTTTCCTTCTAATGTGAATAAAAATTATTGCTTCGTATTTAAACATTTTCTTGCAAGCCAAATATTGCAGAATAATATTTGCATATTAAAGTGATACTAAGTAAAAAAAAAAAAAAAAGAACTCATTTAAGGAAAAAGTTAGCTTTGTTTTATTCTTTCAGCTTTGGGAAGCTAAACCAAACATGTAGGGCCAAAGCCCCACCTAAGGTAATTTGGGATTCACAAACTGGGTGTCCTCCATGCTAGTGGATTTGATCATGTACATCAGCTTAGCGCTTTGATCACTCAACCAGGTGGCTGAAGATCTGGATTATAGGCCTGTAGGGGACTCAGATCATCTTTTATGAGAAAGCTCTAACTACTAGTCTATACAATAGACTGATAGCAGAATAAGCAGGAGTGAATGAGAGAGGGACTAACTCTGGACACCAAGTTAGAAGGGGTGCTGGAATCGCCCCTCACCCCCGCAGAGTTTGTGCTCAGGCAGCAAGAGCAGCCTCATGGCTTACTCTGCTGGGATCTCCAAAACAGTCCCTGGCTGCTGCTGCTGATTTAGGAGTAGACTGTCCATATTATGTTTAAAGAAATCCTGGAAACTGCCCCCAGTGCTGCTGAAGACAGAGGCGGAAGGATAGGGGTGGGGGCACAGCCCAGCACAGAGGTAGAGGGGCATGATACACCAGGTAGGCAGCAGGTAGGCACCACTGGAGCAGGCCCCACCCCACCCACATGTGCCTCCCTTGGCTCCTCCTGAGCAGTGGCTGGAAGTGGGGGGGTGGAGGATGTGGGGGGCTGGAGGGCTGGGCTAGGCACTGCTTCAGTTTGCCTAGTTTACTCCCACACAGAAGCAGCAGTGCCTGCCTGCCCAACTGCCTGGCACACCATGCCACTCTGCCTCCCCACCAGACAGCACCCTGTGCCCCTCAATTCCAGGACTTTTGATTCAATTTTCACCAATTGGCTGGGAGGATGGGACAGCCTATGAAACCTGGGACTGTCTTGGCCAAACTAGGATGCATGGTCACTCTATTTAAGAGCAACAGCTGAGATGAGCAGAATACCCAATGGTGGTGAGCAGCAACAGCTCAGTCAAGGACTTTTAGGAGTTCCTGGCATGGATAAGATTGCAGCATTTCCCCACTCCCAGTCTGAGAACTGCATGCCCTACTCCCCTGCCTTTGAACCTGTGCGTACTCTCCCTTTGGTTTTGATCCTTAATATCCAGCTTGTTTCTGTTTTTAATCAAAGACTACTGAATGTCAAATAAATACTTATTAACTATATATATAGTGTGTGTGTGTCTGTATAATAACATATATGACTCCAGTAATAATAAAATAACATGGGCGCATCTACACGTCACCCTACATCACCATAGTGATGCACTATGTCACCGTATGGCACGCTACAGCCACATAGTGATCACGTGAGTCTACACGTGATTGGCCGCTACTTTGCTATAGTGGCGTGCCCCCCCATTTTAGTGCACTGCTACAGCGAAGTAGTAGTGAAATCTAACAGTGCACAAAGCGCATGGAGCAGTACAGGCAGTTACTGTGCTGTGTTTTAGTACTTCTAAAAGGAAGTACTAAAGCATGGCGCCATAGCAACATCGCTGTACAGTGACATGTAGACCCAATAAGTATGACCAGGAATTATGAGAGAAACGAAGAGTAATACCCCCATTGTATTTTATATTTAAATACCGGTTGGCCATTGTTCAGAAGATCTTCTTTGAAGCGAAGTTTTCTTTCTAGGTCTTGTATGACAGCATCTTTTGTCCCTTGAATCTCCTCATCAGATGCTATCCTAGAAGTTCTGCCTGTTTTCTTTGGAAATCCCCTGCAAAACAATACAAGAAAGGACCATGCTTTTTCTGAACAATTAGCATTTGAGAACTGCTGAATGAAATCCTACTGTTAATGAAATCAGTGGGTGTTTTGCCAATAACCTTACCAGGGCCAAGATCTCACCTTTCCTGCCCAAACCCATGAAATTCAAGCTGAGAACCTGTATTGTTATATTTTATTTTTCTTATAATGTAATAGAGTTGTATGTTATTAATGCGCACACACACAATTTTTTCCATCTCCAAGTCTGCACCTACTAAATTATCAGTAAGTATGCAGAAGTCTAGCTGAAGTCATTCAGTCCTGTTAACTCATTTTACTGTGATCAGTAGGTCAGTTTAGGGGCAATAATTCATTTTTTTAACTTGAGCATTACTTACAGTAGATTGAGGTACTGCTGTAGTGGCTCAATAGTGAAACGGGATAGCACTGGCAATGCATCCAGTCGGGATGCAGTGATCTCCAGAGGAGAAGGCTTGACTTGTGGAGCAAGCCAGGGGAAGCTCAGAGTGTACTGTGAGCACAGTAGCAGACGGGGAACTACATCCTAGTCATTAGTAAATTATTTAATAAAATTGACCCATGCTGCAGTTTTTGAATAGCATAAAATGTTAGAGTAACTTAAGAGTAACTTAAATTCACTCTTTATATCTTTGCAGACACATGCCTAGGAAGATATTAGAACATATTAATAAAATAATTAAATTTGAAAGCACCTAAAGGGTAATAAGACAATAAATTAGAGCCAATATAGATTTGTCAAGAACATATTATGTCCAGCTAATCCAATTTCCTTCTTTGACAAGGTAACTGCCTTAGGAATGGAGAAAGAAGTAGATGTGATATACCTTGGCTGTAAGGCTTTGGACACAATCCCATTCCATGCTTATAAGAAAACTAGGGAACATTAGTCTAGATGGATGCACAACTTGTTGAAAGGAATACTAATTAATAGTTTGCTGTCAATTTAAGAGAATATCCTGAGTCCCATACCATTATAATTTTAATTAGCAAAGAGTACTCTTATAACATTTGCGGATTACACTGAACCTGGAGGAGTTCCAAGCACTTTTGAAGACAGGATTAGAATTCAAAATTGTCTTAGAAAATGGAAAATGGTCTGATGTTAACATGATGAAATTCAATAAAAGGCAAGTACAAGTCACCACATTTATGAAAGAAAAATGAAAAGGAGAAATAATTTATTTTGGCAGCAGTACCACAGAAAAGGACCTAGGGATTATCATAGACCACGACTGAATATGAGTCTACAATGTGATGCAGCTTTAAAAAGGGCTCCTCTCATTCCTGGATAGATTAACATGAGTCTCATACATAAATATGTAGATCAAAATTATGTTCTATTCAGTTCTGGCTATATCTCAGTTGGAATCCTGTGTCCAGTTTTGGGAAACATACTTTAGAAAAGGTGTAGACAAATTGGAGACTGTCTGATGGAAAGCAAAAAAAAAAGTTTAGGAATCATGACTTACAAGAAAAGGCTGAAGTAACTGGGTTTGTTTAGTCTAGAACAGTGGTTCTCAACCTTTTTCCTACAGGGACCCTTTGCCAAGATCAATGGCTTGTCCTGACCCACATCCCTCTGGCCCTGCCAGTGTGCAACCCACAGTCCTTCACCCCCCTGCCCTGCCAATCTCAGCACCTGGCTGCCTTCCCCCTACCTTCATCTGGCTGCTGGGCCTGCTCCCACAACCCTGCCTGGCTGCATCCTGGCCATGCCCCCAGCAGCCACTTGCAGGCTGGAACACTGCAAAAGCCCACGTTTGCCCTTGCAGGCTGGAATGATTCCAGCCTGCAAAGGGAAACCTGCACTTTCGCACATTCTTCTTGGACAGGCTTGCAACCCTTAGAAATATTCTTGCAACTCACTTTTGGGTTGTGACCCACAGGTTGAGAAACACTAGAAAATGAAGACTGATGGGTGACAATGATAACAGTCCTCAAATATGTAAGGGTTTATTTTATGTGTTCAACTGTTCTTCATGTCCCACAAAAGTAAGACAAGAAGTAATTATCTAATTTTCATCATGAAAGATTCAGGTTAGTTATTAGGAAAAACAAATTAGATTAGCTAAGCACTGGATCAGATTACTTAGGGAGGTTGTGATATCTCTGTCATGGGAGATTTTTGTGAAGAAGTTTGTGAATAAGTGAATAGGCAAATAAGTGTCAGGAATGGTCTAGGTATCTTTGGTACCACTTCAGAACAGAGGGATAGACTAGATCAGTGGCATGCAATGTTTTGGCCCCTTGGGCCAGATGAGTGGTGTAGGGCTGGACGGGGGGGTGGACGAGACCCTGCACATCAGAATCAGGCCTGCATGTGCATTGGACCCCATACTGGCTTTGCCCAGCCCCATGTGCCAGGATGGGGCCTCAGGGCTCCACACCACCACCACTTGGCCTCACAAGCCATGTTTGCTAGGATTAGGCCCTGTGCCACCCCAACCCAGCCCCATGTGCCAGTACTGGGCCCCATGCTGCCCTGTGCACCCAATCTAGTGTGTAGGGCCATAGCCTGTAGGGCTCACCGTGGACCCATGAGGAGCCGCATGTTCCAGATAACATGGCACCAGAGCCGGATCTGGCCTGTGGGCTGGGGGTTAAGCATCTCTGGACTAAATGACCCTTGTAGTCCTTTTCAGCCCTTTTAACTTCACACAGCGTATGGGCTTGGGTGACTGTACCCGGGGTCATCCCTTGGGGGGGGGGGGG